TTAATTTTACCTAACTAGTTTGGAAATAAAAATTACTCCATAAAAGTTTTTGATTGAATTTACAAGGTTCCATGAAGAGATGGTAAGGATGTGTATTTATTGTATTTTAACTTGGAGGTCAAAGGTTCGAAACTTGCATATATTAATTTTATAAATTGTGATTTTGGTAGGGCCACATTTATTTACTAGAACAGGGCCAACAAAATTTAAAATACGGCCCTGCTACTATATATCTACTATATTAATAAGAGCCCAAGAGAGTTAGACCTATAATGGGTAGAAAAAATGGCGTTCAATAAGAAAGGTCTTATCTTTTCCGTTAATTTCTGTTAGTTCACCGTTAACTTATTGATTTCAATAAGAAAGGTCTTAGGTTCGAACCGCATCCCAATCAAAATTGGCATAATTAGTACTCTATTTTATTCTTATTAAATTAAATAATAATTTAGTAGCTACAACAAAAAAATAATACATATACATTTTTTAAATTTAAAATTATGTGTCTACAATGTCTTTATTCTAAAAAAAAATATTATTCATTATCAATAAATTAAATAAGAGAAATAATTTCATTAGTTATATTGTATTTATTTTTCTCCAATATAAAAATTCTTTACATTCAAATTCATCAATTAATTACCAGGACTATGTGGTCCAATGGTACCCGGGTTGGACTTCCATTTGGAAGGTTGTGAGTTCGAGCCTCAGTGGAGGTATTATTAGCTCTTTGTGTTTCAGTAGATTGAGAAAGTATATGAACAGATACTACAATGTAATAGAGCTAGTAGCATTCAAAAAAAAAATTCATCAATTAATTATATTCGCTACATTGTCCCTACAATGTCTTTATTAAAAAAATTATTCATTATCAATAAATTAATTAAGAGAAATAATTTTATAAGTTGTATTGTATTTATATTTCTCCATATTCTTTACATTCAAATTCATCAATTGATTATATTCACTACATTGTCTATTATCTTTTTTGTGCACTATTTTTTAATTAAATATCAAAGCTATAATACAAAATAATGCTATATACTTATTTACCAAGTATTTTATTAATACCATGAAAAAATTTAAAAAAATATAATTAATAAAGTTAATCATATTAACTACTTGAGGGATTTGTTGACAAATAGAGTATTCAAATCACACAACAAATTGAAGTGAGAACTACCTCGCAATGTCCTTGTTTGACAATCAGCAGTTAGCGGATAGCGGATTATATTAGCGAATTTGACCAGCGAATTATATCAACGGTTGGTAAAAAGATATTTAAAAAAAATAGCTGTTTAGATTAACATGTAAAATGACCTAAGGATATATATATTTAATAATAATAATAATAATAATAATAATAATAATAATAATAATAATAATAATAATAATAATAATAATAATAATAATAATTGTTTTTAAAAATACAAAAATAAAAAATATAATTAAGTCAATCATATTAACTACTTGGGGGATTTATTGACAAAAAGGGTATTCAAATCACACAACAAATTGAAGTGGGAAACTATCTCGCAATGTCCTTGTTTGGCAATCAGCAATTAGCTCTTCAATATTAGTATATATTTAATATTTTATACCTTAATTTTTGTTTGCTCTCCCTTAAGTCCCGTATTTGGTTTCAACCATACCCAGGGATGGAGTCAGAAATTCGGTTGGGGGGGGGGGGGGCGGGGGGGGTGAAGAAGTGCGGACGGATTCAGAAATTTTTTCCAGTAAAGACGAAACATTAAAACAAAAGAGATAATGTAAAACATATAAATAAATTACCTAAGAAATATAGTTGAAAATATTGTTGGATATGAGCGAAAAATAAAACACATCGAAACTTTATAAAAATATTCATAACAAAATATGAAACATAATTAATTTGATAAAATAATTTGAATAGAAAACACATTATAAATTACACATCTCATTATTAATATAAAAGAGTGTGTGTATTAAATATTAAAAACGAAAAATAAACCCATCGAAACTTTATAAAAATATTCATAACAAAATATGAAACATAATTAATTTGATAAAATAATTTGAATAGAAAACACATTATAAATTACACATCTCATTATTAATATAAAAGAGTGTTTGTGTATTAAATATTAAAAACAAAAAATAAACCCATTGAAACTTTATAAAAATATTCATAACAAAATATGAAACATAATTAATTTGATAAAATAATTTGAATAGAAAACACATTATAAATTACACATATCATTACTAATATAAAAGAGTGTGTGTGTATTAAATATTAAAAACGAAACTTTATAAAAATATTCATAACAAAATATGAAACATAATTAATTTGATAAAATAATTTGAATAGAAAACACATTATAAATTACACATCTCATTATTAATATAAAAGAGTGTGTGTGTATTAAATATTAAAAACGAAAAATAAACCCATTAAAATTTATAAAAATATTCATAACAAAATATGAAACATAATTAATTTGATAAAATAATTTGAATAGAAAACACATTATAAATTGCACATCTCATTATTAATATAAAAGAGTGTGTGTATTAAATATTAAAAACGAAAAATAAACCCATCGAAACTTTATAAAAATATTCATAACAAAATATGAAACATATTAATTTGATAAAATAATTTGAATAGAAAACACATTATAAATTACACATCTCATTATTAATATAAAAGAGTGTGTGTATTAAATATTAAAAACGAAAAATAAACCCATTGAAACTTTATAAAAATATTCATAACAAAATATGAAACATAATTAATTTGATAAAATAATTTGAATAAAAAACACATTATAAATTACACATCTCATTATTAATATAAAAGAGTGTGTTTATTAAATTTTAAAAAAGCTATTAAAAACGTGACTATGTTGAAGTCAAAAAGCTATATTCATTGATGCCATAATATTTGAACCCTTAACCTTTACTATTTCTAAACATGTGTTTACCAATTAATCTAACTCATTTTTTATTAATATTTAACAGTTTTTTTTATACTAATACTAAAACATGTACTATATATACATACAAATATTATATATGGGGTGGGGGTAGGGTGGGGGTCGGGTGAGGGGTGCAGCTGCCCCCGCTTTGGCTCCGTCTCTGACCATACCTATACAATTATTTTATTGACAATTATAATCAATTTTAACTATATTATCTTGCATTTGTAAACTTAGATTTGCCTATTTAAATACACAAATTTAACATTCAATTATCTATGCATGAACAATTTCAATATAATCTTGCATTGATATACATTAAAATACTTTTTTATAAAAACATTGGGCATTATCTCAATCGCGCAATGCGCGTACAAAACTAGTATATATATACTAATAAGAGCCCAAGAGAGTAGGCCTATAATGGGTAGAAAAAATGGCGGTCAAATTTTTTAATCAAATGAATGATTCAGATTGATCAGATTTTAATTGTTCCTTAAGATTTCCTAATTTATCCTTAATGAATATGATTATCCGTTAACTTTTCCGTTAAATATTATCTTTTCCGTTAATTTCTGTTAGTTCACCGTTAACTTATTGATTTCAATAAGAAAGGTCTTAAGTTCGAACCTCATCCCAAACAAAGTTGGCATAATTAGTACTCTATTTTACTCTTATTAAATTAAATAATAATTTAGTAGCTATAACAAAATAAATAAATAAATAAATAAATAAATATGCATTTCTTTAATTAAGAATGATGTGTCTACAATGTCTTTATTCAAAAAAAAAAATTATTCATTATCAATAAATTAAATAAGAGAAATAATTCCATTAGTGATATTGTCTTTATTTTTCTTCAATATAAAAATTCTTTACATTTAAATTCATCAATGGATTATATTCGCTACATTGTCCCTATAATGTCTTTATTAAAAAAAAATTATTCATTATCAATAAATTAATTAAGAGAAATAATTTTATTAGTTATATTGTCTTTATTTTTCTCCAATGTAAAAATTCTTTACATTCAAATTCATCAATTGATTATATTCACTATATTGTCTATTTTATTTGCACTATTTTTTAATTAAATGTCAAAGTTATAATACAAAATAATGGTATATATTTATTTACCAAGTATTTTATTAATACCGTGAAAAATTAAAAAAATATATATAATTAATAAAGCCAATCATATTAACTAGTTGAGGGATTTATTGACAAAGAGAGTATTCAAATCACACAACAAATTGAAGTGAGAACTACCTCGCAATGTCCTTGTTTGATAATCAGCAGTTAACGGTTAGCAGTTAGCGTTAGCGGATTTGACCAGCGAATTATATCAACGGTTGGTAAAAAGATATTTGAAAAAATTACCTGTTTAAATTAAAATGTAAAATGACCTGGTATAATAATAATAATAATAATAATAATAATAATAATAATAATAATCATCATCATCGTTTAAAAAAATAAAAAATAAAAAAATATAATTAAGCCAATCATATTAACTACTTGGGGGATTTATATTGACAAAAAGAGCATCCAAATCTCACAACAAATTGAAGTGGGAAATTACTTCGCAATGTCTCGTATTTGGTTTCGACCATACCTATACAATTATTTTATTGACAATTATAATCAATCTTGACTATATTATCTTGCAGTAAACTTAGAATTACCTATTTAAATACCCAAATTCAACATTCAATTATCTATGCATGAACAATTCTAATATAATCTTGCCTTGATATACTTTAAAGTATTTATTTAAAAATAACATTGGGCATTATCTCAATCGCGCAATGTGCGTACAAAACTAGTATACTAATAAGAGTCCAAGAGAGTCAGACCTATAATGGGTAGAAAAAATCGCGGTCACAGATTTTAATCAAATGAATGGCTCAGATTGATCAGATTAAAAATTTTCACTGAGATTTCCTTAAATACCCACACACCGATACTTCATCCGTTAAAAGTTTATGATTCACCGTTAGTTCACCGTTAAGTATACCTTGTTACGCAAAAATCTTACGCAAAACCTCGCCAGTATATCTTCTTACGCCAAACCGCTCGAAATTTAGCCCTCATCGGTCATCGTTCAGAAAAATCAAAAGCGCAAAGATGCTGAAGAAATTCCCCTCAAGCTGCTGCTATTGTGTATTCGCGCGACCCTAGCCAACATCCAAACCGAGCTGCGCGAGAAATTGTGAGTGCTATCACAAGTCATCGCCTATTTTTGTTTTATTTGTTTGATTTTTTTTTCTCTTATTCTTCTGGTTTGATTTGGCTTATTTTAACATTGTGGATTTCTTTTGGATGATTTGCATTGTAATATAATCCCCAATTTTGTCCATTGCTTATATCTAAACTTGAGTAATCCGTACAAGAGCAATTGTTGAGGCAAACTTGCTCACATTCTTGAAGGTTCATACGGTATTGAACCATGAAAACTGTGTATCTGGAAATTAATACCAACGTACTTCACGAATCCATTCAGGGCCGTTCAAATAAAAAGTGGGGTCCTGTGCAATATCTTAATTTGGGCCCACTTTCTTCAAAGTAATTTTTATATATAAATAATAGTTGTACAAAAAGTTATGTCAAAAATTCAAAACATAAATATTGTATAAAAAATACATCTAAAATTTCATTTAAAAAGTGACATGCACCGCGCACACTTAGACGCAAAATCATCTATCAAACTTTTGATATCAACTTCTTCCAAAATCTCATTTTCAATAGAGATTAAAGCTAATCCATTGAGTCTTTCTTGCAACATACTTGATCATATCGTAAGTAAGATTTCAACAATTTCAACTTTGAAAAACTCCTTTCTGCAGAGGCAACAGTAATTGGGATAGTCAATAATATTCGATATGCAATAGTACCATTTGGAAAACAACCCATTTGTTTCAATGAATTCAATATACTCACTGCTCCTATATTTTCTTTCGATAAAATCTCTCTAAGCAATTTTAGCTCAATATACAATTCATTTCCATCAATCTCACCACACTAATCATTTATCTTAAGAGCTCCTTCTAAACAAATGCAACAAGACTTCAAATCTATATCAGTCATCGATTGTAACTTGTGAGAACTAAACAAAAACCAAAAGTTCATTCATATACTTCATATTGCTCAAACCTCTGGGTCAATTAAATAATAGCTTTATCTACAACGTATAAAAAAAATAATGAACCCTAAAAGATTCTTCTGGTGATAATAATGTGTCATCAGCACTCTCATCAAATTGTCTTTTTCTACAAATTTTTCGCTTTTGAGAAAAACTGGCTCAATTTCTAATTCAATGGCAATTTCTTTTGCAATATCCATGGCAGTAGAAAAACCATTTTCTCTATAATTCTTGAAGAAAGAAACTAACCCTTTAATTTGATTAATAGCAACATCAAGAAGCATATCTTTTGTTTGTAATTGCTTGCTTACTAAATTAACCGCATATAAGATTTCAAACCAAATGATTGTGGCTAGCAAAAATTCAAAGTTACTAAGCTTATTTGTAACTAAAGATCTTGCCTCACTTTGAATTTTAGAATCACTACCCCAAAAGGCTGAATCCCCAACCCGGCAGAGCATGTGGGAGGATGTAAATCACGGTGACTCAATGGGTAGTAAGCAGGGCCAATAGTCTCTTACCCCAAATACTGCCCACTAAACCATTGAGCTAAATTCGTGCGGGTTTCTTGAATATCACTGACTTGATATCTAATTGCTTCTCTAATTGAATATATTATTCTGAAATCAGAAGTATTAAGTCATGTAAATTATTGCGACGGCCATAGTGTCCGTGCATGCGTGGCAGCAGGTGCATTTGACTACCCCCTCACAGCCGACCAACTCTTTGACTACCCCCTCACAGCCGACCAACTATGCCACTGCTACCTTAATGCCGTCACTGCCGGTGCAGCAATCAGGCCCCCCTGCCGAAACACACCTGATGTCGCCACTATCCCCCAACGTCGCTGCTACTAGAATGGCGGTAACGGAGCCAGTCCGTTGTTTTGTAGACACTGGATTTCGGCCCCAGTTCATGACCGCAACAATTGGCGCAGTGCGGTATATCTCAGCGTACGCCGCACCACTACAAAACTGTTTCTCACCGCTTATGGCCGAGGCTCTTGCGTGCAAGAAAGTTTTATCATGGCTCAGGGCACGTGGCGAATCACTGCCGGTGCAGCAATCAGGCCCCCCTGCCGAAACACACCTGATGTCGCCACTATCCCCCAACGTCGCTGCTACTGGAATGGCGGTAACGGAGCCAGTCCGTTGTTTTGTAGACGTTGGATTTCGGCCCCAATTCATGACCGCAACAATTGGCGCAGTGCGGTATATCTCAGCGTACGCCGCACCACTACAAAACTGTTTCTCACCGCTTATGGCCGAGGCTCAGACGCTGGATTTCGGCCCCAGTTCATGACCGCAACAACGCCGCACCACTACAAAACTGTGTTTTATCATGGATCAGGCCTCACCGCTTATGGCCGAGGTTCTTGCGTGCAAGGAAGTTTTATCATGGCTCAGGGCACGTGGCGAATCGGCAATTGAGTTGTACACAGACTGCCTGTTTACTTTTTACATTGTAGTATCTGTTCATATACTTTCTCAACCTACTGAAACACAAAGAGCTAATAACGCCTCCACTGAGGCTCGAACTTACAACCTTCCAAATGGAAGTCCAACCCGGGTACCATTAGACCACATAGTCCTGGTTATTGCTCAGTAATTTATATTCCTAGATCGCAAAATTATTTAGCACATATGTTAGCTGCTGAGGCTTTTAATCACATTACGACTATGTACTGGGATGCTATTCCACCTGACTCAATTTTGAATTACTTATAAATATAACCACATTGATTTTTCAAAAAAAAAAAGTCATGTAAATAAAACAATAAACAACAATTATGAAAAAATACGTAATTTTAATTACCTGTCAAGAAAATTGAAGAACTTGAAAGTTTGTATGATAAAAAAAAAAAGTATTAAAGAATTAATAGCACACAAACTGAGTCAGTCGTCTTTGTGTCAATTTATTAAATTGCACGGCCTAAAAAAGTCAAACAGCAAAGAATACAAATAAACAATCAAAATGAATATTTAAATTACTACATAATTAAAGAATACAAACAGAAAAGAATTAAAAATATTGAGATTTGAGAATATACAATTTAATTTACCTAATCTAGATTCTAGCACTACAGCAGCCTAATAATGCAAATAAGTCAAATTAAATATTTAAATAATTAAATTAATTCAATTACCTAGGCAAATTGAAATGAGTTCTACTCTCGGAACTCTTAAATTTTACTCCCTCATTTATACTACTTGAGGTGGCAAATCGCGATTGGTTATTTTCAACATATGAGTTTACAGAAAAGTGTCTACATCAAGAACATATGAGAAGTAGTATACGTTGAGAGTATAAAAAGGGAGTGCACCAAGTATTTTCCAATTGAAATTGTTGTAAGTCTCTTTAGTCTCTTCTGTCAGTTTGTGTCTCTGATGTCAGCCACTAACGTTAAATTAGAGTATAGGAATTTCGGGTAGGTTTGTTGAATTGTTCGAAGCGGTAGCTGCTGAAGTGCTGATATATATATATATATATATATATATATATATATATATATATATATATATACTACATATTTTTATTTTTATTTTTAAAATATGGGGTCTCTGTGTGCCGGTTCTGGAAAAACTTGTCTAGGGTTGGTCTTCGGACCGACACTTATAAATATACTAGTATTTTATATGCGCGATGCACAAAAAATATATGCCCAATATTAAAACTAAATATTAAAACCTTAGTTATATTAATTTTTTTAACAAATAATTGTGTGTGTGTATATATATTGTGTGTGTGTGGGTGTGTACATATATAATTGTATGATTCATATTAATATTTTTGAGGTAAAAATTATAGAAATGATAAATTATTAAATATAACTATGTTAACATTTTAATTAAAACCTAAATGAATTCAAACTTATCATGGAAGGATGTAAGAAATAATATTATGTATGCATGTACATGGTAATAATAATGTAGAAAGATAACAGAAGTTATAACTGCAGGGATATTTTTGTCCAAAAAATTATGTAGTACAACTTTTATAGCATAAAGTACAAAAGAATTTAACAGAAAAATGGACATAAACCAGGGGTATAACCTGGATTGAAGCTTATTATGTTTTTAGATATGGTAAAAAATGTAATTAACTTCAAAATTAATTATTTAATGAAGTTTAACTGTTAAAAATGAGAGAAAAAGACAATCAATATATATTATTTTAAAGAGATCACGATAAAATTGACGTGTCTTCAATGATATAATTTAATTATACTTTGTACCCAACAAATATAATATTATTAATTTGTCTCGTTCTCACACACTAGACAAAACCATACCTAATGAGAAGCTTTTGAGTTGATGATGGGCATAGGATAGAGATTATTTTAGAGTTTATAACTTATTTAAACTATAAATAAGTTATAAGTTTTGTTTGGTAAATATAGAGACTAGAGAGCTCAAAATAATAATTTATTTTGAAACATTATATCAAGTAACGTTTTAAAATATAAGATTCTGACTTTTTAATTTTTTTTTTTTTTTTGTATTTTTATGAATTTACAAAAATGACACAATCTACCTTTTATTAATCAAAATCCTACTATTTTAGTTTATCCTTTTTATGTCTTTTTACACTTATTATCAACTAATTCAACAATTAATTTTACCAAATACTTAGATTTAATTTCAATTAGTTAGCTTATTAGCTGCTAACTTTTCAACTAGACTTGCCAAACAAAGTTGATGTTCAAATAATAGTAATAATAAATGTTTGTCAAATTTATAATCAAGGTTGCAAAAATCGCGCCTAGGCGCCCGACCGCCGCCGTGAAGAAGGCCGGAATCGGCCTCCTCCGCGGCCGGCCGGCTAGGCGGTCTAGGCGGCCGGCTGAACCGGCATCGAACTGGCGCTTTGTAATTTTTTTTTTTTTTTTTTTTTTTTTTTTTTGCATTTTAAATTGTGCAAAGTTCGGGAAGTCATAACTTTTGACTCGGTTGTCCGTTTTGGACAATTTTTTTTTTAAATTGCGTATTTTTTCGAGATCTATCCATCGCAAACAGCCAAAGGCGGTTTGGTCCACTAATTTCTCAAAAAAAATGCTGCTTTAGCTCTTAATTTTAGTTTTTTTATGTATTTAGATGGTTTAAACAATCTTTTGAACACTTTTACAACCACTTTCGTAAATAGTTTCTAAGAAATAACTATGGAAACCTTATGTTTTATTACTAAATTTTAAAAATTTTTAATTTTTAATTAAAAAAAATTAAAAATAAAAATAAAAAAAATCGGCGCCTAGGCGCTAGGCGCCCCCTTGCCGCCTAGGGGGCGCCTAACGTGTTTTGCAACATTGTTTATAATACATATATATTTATATCCTAAATTGAAAATTATTGTAATGTCATTCTAATTTTTTTATTAACAAAGTGATATCTTTGATATGGTATATTATTTAACAATACCTGTTTTATTCACGCTCTATATATTGATCCTATTTTTTAGTCAAAAAAAAAAAAACTCTTTTTTTACTTGATTTCCCATTTTATTATGCTACTAGTAATTCACCCGCGCGATGCACGGGAAAAAATTATGTTATTATAAATATAAATAAAAAATAGAAAAACTAAAATATTTTAAATTTTTTAATATAATAATATTTTTGAGCTTCTATTGGTAAATTATTTATTATTTTTATAGTATACAAAATTACAATTAAATTTAAAATTTTGTATGGTTAATATAATATCTAATTATGTGCATATTTAAATAAACTTATAGAGAGAATTTACATAATTACATTGATTTATTCTTAATTGTATTTCATCTTTATTATAATTTTCACAATACGAATAATAACTAAGATAATTACATTTGGAAAACAAATTTCAAATTTTGTATGAGTAAATTTAAACTCTAATTAAACACATTTTTATATGATTATATAATATATAGCTATTTTATTTTTCAAAAGTACATTTTTTATATGCTTATATAATATATGTTGCTATTTTATTTTTCAAATGTTGTGCTTTTTTTTTTTTTTTTATTATAATAAAGGATATTGTGGCATTAATTGTAACATTAATTACTTCCCAAACCATATAGCTTTATTATAGTTAAGATATCATTTTAAACATAATTTTTTGTAATTAATTAATAATTCCTTTAAGTGAAATTTGTCAAATAGACCCTTTAACTATTATTGAAAAAACAACTAACCCGTCAAACTTTAAAAAGATTCGATTAAATATTTCAACTCAATAAAACTATACAACCAAATCCTTTTACAAGTATCACACAAGCTAGTTAAAAAAAAAAAAAAAAAGTGATGACATGAAATTTTTTATTTACGTGACATTTTTTCGTAAATGTTTTGAAAATGTTATTTTCATAGAATCTACACGCCTCACTCCTCAACTCTCCCTCTCTAAAGCAATGGAGATAACAATTTTATACACCAATTGAAAACTAAACATTATAAAAAATTAAATTGTTAATAATGTGCGTTGAGCGTAAAAATAAATGCAATAATTGTTGTATAAAATCGATCTTAATTTTAATTTTTAATTGGATAAATAGGTTGATTAATAATTTATAAAATAACTATATTATTTTTGTGACACAGTCAATAATACTTAAAAAAAATATTATATTTGTGAATCGTCAAAGTTTGATTTCTACACCTCCACCCCAGGGCCGGTCCTATCATTTTATAGGCCCGGGGCGTAGCAACAAAAATGGGCCCTAGCTACATGAAATTAATATACATTTTTATAACTAAATTTTTTATTAAATAAGGACGGGTCACAAAATAGGCATTTAAAAAAAATAAATTTGTGGCCCCGTTCTTATAAATAAATGAAGCCCTATCAAAAGTATAAGAGCAACCTTTAAAACCAATATTGTAAAATATAAGATTTTTATTTCAAATAAGTACGAACGGTGTAACACTCAGTTGAATGCAAAAATCTCAATTTATACTGTAAAATATATGATTTTTATGTCAAATATGTATGAACGGTGAAAATATTAGGCCCTCTAAAAATTGAGGCCTTGTGTTGTTGCTCATCTTGCATGCCCCAAAATCCGACCATGAAAATACTAATGTCAAATAACTTGAAATAAGATTAAAAAGTGCTTAACTATTTTACATACATAGGAAAACAATTCTATATGTTTTCCTAAATTCAAAATTATCAATACCTGCATCAGTGACTTCATAAATAAACAATTATAGCTTATAAAAACGAATAAACAATTTGATACCAAATAAGCTTATACGCAATCACATTATGATTATTATAAAAAAAAAGTAATTATTATTAAAAATTTATAAAACAAATTTATAAACAAGAGCAGAGCATGAAATCTTAATTATTGAGAAAAATAAATCAGAACACTTTAAGTGCGATAAAAGATATTCATAATAAAATATGAAACATAATTAATTTGATAAAATAGTTCAAATATAAAACACATTATAAATCACATATCTTCTATATTGTATTATATTTATAAATACTTTTTGTTTTAGTTAGATTAATTTTAAATTTTTTCTAGATTAATTTAAATACAATAACACACAGTAGAACTTCTAAACTACATTAACTAGATAATTCATAAAAACGTAAATTATCTTTTCAAATATTTTTCATAACTAAATCACAAAATATATTACATGTACATTATTCATTATAAAGTTCACAAAATAACATGTATTCTAAATATAAATTGTAAATTACTCGAATAGAAATTGATTCCAAATTTGATATAAATCACAAATCAATCTATATTATAAATCTCATTATTATTATAGAAAGGTAAAAAAAAATTACAAAGTTACAAATTTAATAAAAAATACAAATTAAAAATAGAAATAAATTTCATAAGTTACAATTTAATTTAATACTACATAAATTTAATGTACGTATATGGGTTCTAATAGTAGTTCTACAAAGTAAAGAATGAAATTGTATATACATAAATTTAATGTACGTATATGGGTTCTAATAGTAGTTCTACAAAGTAAAGAATGAAATTGTATATGGGTTCTAATAGTAGTTCTACAAGGTTCTAATAGTAGTTCTACAAAGTAAAGAATGAAATTGTATATACATAAATTTAATGTACGTATATGGGTTCTAATAGTAGTTCTACAAAGTAAAGAATGAAATTGTATATGGGTTCTAATAGTAGTTCTACAAAGTAAAGAATGAAATTGTACGCATAAAGGCTTGACCCCACGACCTTTTAGAAATAAACATGGCAGCTTACCAATTAGGCTAAATAACCCATTTAGTAATTCTAATGTATATTAAATACCTATACAATAACACTATAGTATAAATAAAACATAGTGGGGTGGGATGGGGGCCCCCTTCCAAGCGTGGGCCCTGGGCAAGGGCCCAGCCTGCCCTTGCCCAGGGCCGGGCCTGAATCCATTCGATGATGTATTTTGACATTTTAGGGGTGTCCTCCGAACACACCCTCCAGAAAAATCTGTCCCGCCCCATGCTCCTGGGTGTCTAGGCAAAAATTTATCCAAGCAAATCTTCTGGTTTGATATGGCTTATTTTAACATTGTGGATTACTTTTGGATGATTTGCATTGTAATTCAATCCCCAATTTTGTTAGGGTTTAAGTTCGTGAAAGATAAATCTGTCAAACTAAAGCAAGCAACTGAAACAGATCATCGCGTTGAACTCAGTGTAAGGACTCTCTCCCACAGTCACTCTTTTGTTCTCTATCTTTTTTGTACAGTCTGCTTACTTCTTTCTTTATGTGTTATCCATTGATGTTGCCAACAGAAGAGGCTCTTGAACTGTCAAAGCAGATTAAGCAAAAGTTGAAAGGAAGCTGATCAATATGCTATTTTTTCTGTCATTTAAAAATACCATGCATTTACTATGGAGTAATACATAAATGTGTGTGTCTTAATTCAACTTCACTGAAATGATAACAAACAAGAGCAAATAAAAGACAGTTTCAGTATTAGCCTGTCAAGTTTGGATTTTAGTTCATTCGAATTAGTATTTGCACAACAATGTTACAAGTGCAGAACATCAAGCTTAAAATACAGTTATTACATCAAATGAGTTTTCAATCACTAATTGACAAAGAATTGCCTTTTTTACTTCTCTTTCACTCTTATTTTTGGAATAAGAGTTAATTCGAGTTAGTATTTTAACCATAACAGTTTTACAGGTGCAGAACATTGAGCTTAAAATACAGTCATATATAGCAAATTAGTAGTCAATCACTAACTGACAAAGAAATGCCTTTTTTTCTTCTCTTTCACAAAAAGAATTAATATACTTATATTATATACTTTTTTCTGTTTATTTTATTTTATTTTATTTATTGTAATTTTAGTGGACATGGGTGATGATTGCATATGCAGAATCTGATGATAAACAAGCTCAAATCTGATAACTATGTGGCTATATATAATTCTAAACATTTTTATCAGGGATTATATTGTATGTCAATTAAGGCAACAGTTGATAGATTTAGACATGATGACATGGGGATAGTTTATATTGATAGTTTGCTTTTGACATTTTAGGTAGAGAACTTAGATTTATTGGTTTAGCACATTTGTTTAATGTTATTGATGAAGAAAGAAACATTTACTTTGCATTACTCTGTATGTTTTGTGTTTTACATTTGAATTTGCTGGGGTTTTTTTTAGCCTGAGGCCTCCTTTTGTTCATCATTTTAATCATTCAGATGGAATTTAGTCGTGTATATCATCTAATCTTGCTTATCAGTTAATATAATATTCTTTTAGTTTGAATACGTGTATATAAATTTTGTGCTTGTTGAGATTTTGCATTTGAAGTCAATTAACACCTTCTGAACACATAACTAACATGTGAGCACCCTTATGATTTGTTCAAATGTGTGGAGAGCAAAGAATTTACTGTGGCCTAGATGAATCCAAATGGTTTTAGAGAATATACTATGGACGCATTGAAAAGATGCCGAGACTACAATAATGCTGCAATCAATCTTTTAAATCCAGAAAGAGAAGAAATTAAAAAAATAGCGATCGTTCCACCATTCATTAATCCTGTAAGTAAAATACTTATTGAGCATTCTTTAAATATATTTAAACTAATATAAATTAACAATCACTTTCATTTTATAGTCTCAACCTGCTTGGATCAAGGGCAAAATCAGCATTAACCTTTGACAACAACAACACTTGGTATATAGGATGTAGCCATTGTTTAAAAAAAGTTTATGCACAAAGTGACCAGCAATTTAACTGTATGCATTGTGGTGAAAAGAGAGCGGTGGGTACTCCAAGGTTAGTATCAATTCAACAAATCAATTTAACAAAAAATACACACATACAAAAGATTAAGTACTACACCAAAAATATGAACTACAAAATGCACAAGTGTAAAATGGATGTGGAAATTATTGATGAAACTGAGCACATTGCGGCATTAGTATTCGGTCTACTTGCAGAGTCATTGTTGTTACATTCAAGTAAACAAGTTATGCAACTAGAACAAGAGGTACTATTCATGAACCTTCTACAAATATATTAATATTTTGTTAATTCTGTCACATGAGAACATATGGCACACATCTCACAACGAATGAAACATGTAGGGAAAAAAAGTATCACTACTGCCAAATATCAACAAGCGCCTACAAGATCAAGAGTTCGTTGTACAACTAAGATCCCAAGCATATACACAACAAGGCAGATCCACTTCTTCCTACACTGTAATCTAATTGCATGATGCTTCCCACTATGATATCACAACTAACACGATTGAACATGGCGCACTACCAATACAAAAGAAGAGGATATGTACTGAAGATGAAGATGAAGATGAAGATGAAGAGAATGACAATGCTTCCCTCAAGAGAATTAAGAAGACTTAGAGAAATTTAAACCAAATGTAGATTTTATTTACACTATTATTTTTAGATTAGCATTATTTAGACTATTATTTTTAGACTACATATTTAGAAAATTACTATCAATTATTTTAGTGACAATTATAATCAATCATAATGCATTATCTTACATTCGTAAACTTAGAATTATCTATTGAAATAAGCAAATTCAACATTTGATTATCTATGCATGACCAACTCTAATATAATCTTGCATTAATATACTTTAAAGTATTTATATAAAAATATAAACATTGGGCATTATCCCAATCGCGCAATGCGCGTGAAAAAGTAGTCTGTATATATATATATATATATAATATATATATATATATATATATATATATATATATATATATATATATATATATATATATATATATATATATATATATATATATATATATATATATATATATATATATATATATATATATATTGGTAGGGAATATCCCGACCGACATAGCTTCACCACGACCGAGAAGCCTTTGTCCTTTTCTCTTTGTCTTTGCAGGTAACAGGTCGGGCTCCTTGTGAAGAACCCGGTCGGGGTCCGACTGGGAGTTGCCTGAACGACGATGTCAACCACCGAGCGGTAGCCCTTTGGCGAGAGAGCTGACGAAGGACACGTGGCGGCTCTCTACATCGACAGGCAGGGCACCCGGGAGGATGACACGTGGTGGCTACGTGGAGGACATGCCGAACGGCTGGAATCCTGTCCCCGGCATAACGGCTATAAATACCCACAGTAGCTACAGTGTGAGGGACTTTTGGACGATCGATAGGTTGTTGTTAGAGAATCCCGACCGCACTCAGTCGGTACTCAGAGCAACCAAGTAGATTGTACTTAGGGCCTTTACCGTGATCAATAAAGACATTTACTTGCTTTAATCGGTCTCGAGTTATTTCATAGTGCTTACGTATAATTAGCAGTATCATTTTGGCGTCGTCTGTGGGGACCGGTGCAACAAAGCTACGTCTTGACGAGCACCCGGTCTCTCGGAAACAATGTATCCGTGGGCATACAACAACTTCGCCGACGACCAAGCCGATGCGGCGAGCTCATCTGACCATCACGCTACCCAACAGCAAGGTCAGACGGTCGATCTGAACCTCAACCTCTCGCCCCCGCATCCATCAAACACATACCCGGTCGCCCAACACCCGGTGAACTACATACAACCGGGATTTCAGACGCTCGGTCAGCAATACCCGCAACCAATGATGTATCCCGGTCAGTATCCGTACCCGGTCCCACCTCAACCGTATGGGTATTGGCCAGGCCAACCGATGTACTACACTCCTCCGGTTGGTTACCCACCGTTCACGCCTGCGTACACGGCTCCAGCCGCTGCCCCTCCAGTATACCCGGCCGCTCAGGTAGAGCCGCAGCATCAGCCCATCTCCCGGGCTCGACGCTCGGCTCGTTCGCGGTTGGGGCCGGGGGGTGCTGTTGCAATGGAGGCACCACGGCAGGCCCAGTAAGCAGAAGAGGTTCCCGCCCAAGCGGAGGAACCTGAAGAAGTTGCCCGAGCGGTAGCTTTCGACCGTCTTCGACCGGAAATGCGGCAAAGATTGGGACCCCAAGATCCGAATCGCCAACCGGAAGACGTGCACATGCAGGAGGCTAGTCAGGAGGCTTCATCTGGGCATAGCGGGTCGAGATCGCACCGACGGCGACACGCTCGGGAAACAGCCCAAGCCGTCCAAACCGCCGAGCTCAGCGAAACCCGAGGATTGCTCTATAACCTCCAGGCGGAAGTTGCGCAGCTCAGGAATGCGTACCCTGCGACACCCCCGGTCAACCAATCGACCCTGCACCAGACGCCTTTCACAGCAGCGGTAATGGCCCAGCCTTACCCGCTTGACTTAAAGGTCTCTGGAGAGAAGAGTTATGACGGCCGGGCAGATCCTGAGGCCCACGTGAATGATTTTTTCAGCAACATGATGCTGAAGGGCGTTTCGGACGCCGTGATGTGCAGGGCCTTCTACTCGACCCTCACCGGTCGGGCAGCCGAGTGGTTCCGAACCCTGCAACCGGGGTCGATCGATAAATTTGAGACCCTGGCGATCAAATTTGTAAGAAAGTTCATCACTTCCAAAGTGGTGAGAAAGTCCTACATGTATCTTGAGAAGGCCAAGCAGCTAGAAGGGGAAAGCTTGACCGATTTCCTCATCAAATGGAAAGCAGCGGTCGGGGAGGTCGAGCCCATGGACGATGCGACCGCCACCCATATGCTTCACATATCTCTCCGGGCGGGACATTTGTATCAAGACTTCATCCTACACCCCCCGACCAGTTACGAGGAGGCCCTTCGGAGGGTCACAGACTATGCCAACGCCGGCGAGGCGAACGCCGTAAAGCGCTTGCAGGAGGTCGGCTCCTCGTCCCGTAAACCGGCCGGCCGGGCGGAACATCGGTCGGGAGATGACAACCCCCGATCCCGCACCAGGCCTGGCGAGTTTACGGCCTTGAATCGATCCGCAGCGGAGGCCATGCAGTACGCCCAGTCCTGCAATCTCATCAAACTCCCCCATCCCGATCGAGACGGCCCTGACAAAAGTAAGCACTGTGCTTACCATCGATGCGCCGGGCATGACACCGAGGAGTGTACCCACTTACGCCAATTGTTGGAAGATCTGCTTAACATGGGAAAATTGGACAAGTGCGTGGGGAAGAGAGAAGACAATAAGAGGAATACCGATCGGAGAGATCACAGGCGTTCTCATCACCGCTCCGATCGACCAGGGCAGGACCGAAGAGACGATCGGAGGGACGATCGTCATGGTGATCGACGGGACCCTGACCCTCCGTCTGGTAGCCGCCCGTCCGGAAAGCCTACCATCCATGTCATTTTTGGTGGACTGGAAGATGCTTCCCGACCGTGGACTAATTGCCCGGTCGCTATAGTGGATTCCCGGGAGACCGGGAAGAGGCAGAAGATGGAGCCCATAACCTTCACCCTCGAAGACCAACCTAGCAGCAGTGACCACGGCATGGAGGCGCTCGTGGTCACGATTGACGTTAAGGGGACAGACGTCCAGAGGGTTATGGTTGATACGGGCAGCAGTGTGAACGTCCTATACTTGGACGTCTTTGAGAAGCTTGGCCTCGACAGGAAGGAGCTGACTCCGGTCGGTGTACCACTGTCAGTATTTACCGGGGCTCTTATTTACCCCGAGGGAAAAATAGCGCTCCCGGTCGAGATTGGCGCACCTCCAAAATCGATCAAAACGGAGCTGGAATTTGTTGTGGTCAACCTCCATTGCGTCCACAACATAATCTTGGGCCGACCCGCCATTATGAAGATCGGTGGGATAATTTCTATGCCTCACCTGTGCATGAAATTCCCCACCCCTAATGGGGTCGGCGTGGTCCGTGGCGATGTCCAATCCGCCCGGAAGTGTTACACCCGAGCGGTCAATAGACGTGACTCCGGTCCGTCTTCCCGGGTGAACACCATAGCCAAAGAGGAGGCTAAGGAACGGAGGGAGCAGCCTGAGCCTTCCGAAGAAATAGAAGAAGTTCCCCTATCCGAGGACCGCCCGGATAGGAAGATCAAGATTGGCCGAGCCCTCACCCCCGAGCTTCGAGCGGAAGTTTTGGCCATACTCCGGGAGTATGCTGATATCTTTGCGTGGGGGCCCGAAGGCATGCCGGGGATTGATCGATCGGTCATCTGTCACAAATTGGCCGTCGATCCCTCAGCCAAGCCGGTCGTGCAGAAAACACGACACCTTTCCTCCGATCGCCGCGAATTTGTCAGAGAAGAAGTCAAAAAGATGGCGGCGATCGAGCACATCCGTCCGGTGGTCTATCCCGAGTTGGTGGCAAATATCGTTCTTGTTCCTAAGCCCCCAGCATGGAGGATGTGCATCGATTTTACGGACCTCAACAAGGCCTGTCCGCTCGACCCGTATCCTCTACCGAGCATTCACCAGATGGTCGACGAGACGGCCGGGGCCGAATTAATGAGCTTCATGGATGCCTTCAAGGGGTACCATCAGATCATGATGCACCATGAAGACGAGAGCAAGACAGCCTTCGTGACCCCAGACGGGCTGTATTGCTACCGAGTGATGCCGTTCGGCCTCCGGAACGCAGGAGCGACCTACCAGAGGATGGTCAATATGCTCTTTGCCGATCTATTAGGCCGAACGATGGAAGCCTACATCGATGACATGCTGGTCAAGAGTCGGGACCGATCCGACCACACTCGGGACCTCCGGGAGTGCTTCCAGATCATGAGGAAGTACCAGTTGCGGCTGAACCCGACCAAATGCACATTCGCGGTTCAGACCGGCAAGTTCCTCGGCTATATGATGACCAAGAGAGGAATCGAGCCCAACCCGGCCAAAGTAAAAGCGATTCTGGATGCACCTTCCACCGTTCGGGAAGTCCAGCAACTGACCGGCCGGTTGGCAGCCCTCAGCCGGTTCCTCTCCAAGTTGGCCGAGCGCGCTCTACCTTTCTTCAAGGTACTGCGAAAAGTTAATGGATTCGTCTGGGACGAAGAGTGCCGAGCGGCTTTTGACGAGCTGAAGGAGTATCTCATGTCACCGATCGTACTCTCAAAGCCTGAGCTCGGAGAAGAGCTAGACGTGTATCTCGCCGTGTCCGATCGCGCAGTAAGCGCAGTGTTGTGCCGAACCGATCCGGAAGGGGTCCAGCGACCGGTGTACTATGTAAGCCACGCGCTACATGGTCCCGAGCTCCGGTACTCCCGGCTAGAGAAGGTCGTCTACGCCTTATACATTGCCGCGAAGAAGTTGGCTCCCTACTTCCAAGGTCGAGCAATTCGCGTGTTGACCGATCAGCCGATCGGGCCAGTCCTCCGAACCGCTTCATCATCCGGCCGCTTAGTCAAGTGGGCGTTAATGCTGACACAATACGCGATCGAATACCGACCAAGACCAGCTATCAAAGGTCAAGCCCTTGCTGATTTCTTGGTTGAGTGCACCGCCCGGGATACCCGACCCCCCGAGGTAGCGGATCCCGAGGCTGAGTGGTGGTCGTTGGCTACTGACGGGTCGAGTAGCAAGAAAGGAGCAGGAGGAGGGGTGGTGGTCACGAGCCCGGAAGGATTCAAGGTTTATTTTGCCCTCATGTATCAGTTCCACCCGACCAATAATGAAGCCGAATACGAAGCCTTTGTTAATGGCTTACAGTGTGTTCGGGATTTGGGGGCTGAATACATCCGGGCTCAAACGGATTCCGCGCTCGTGGTCGGGCAAGTTCTCGGGGATTATGAAGTCAACGGAGAGCGTTTGCAGCTATACCGAGACCTTGCCATGGAGAAACTTGCTCAGTTCCGGGGGTATACCGTCCGACATATACCCCGATTGGATAATGCCGATGCAGATATCTTATCTAAATTGGCTCAAGACGCCCCGGAACATATGTCGAAGATAACTCGGATTTTAGTGATCCCGAGACACAGCATCCATCGTCTACCGGTCAATCCAATCCAACCGGTAGAAGACAATTGGATCACTGATCTGAAGGAATTCCTCGAGCACGGTCAACTTCCCGATGACCCTCAGCGTGCTCGAAAAGCCAGACTGAGAGCCCCGAGGTTCCAAGTCTTGAACGGCCGTCTCTACAGGCGATCGTATGGAGGCCCTCTCATGCGTTGCTTGACCGCATTTGAGGCCGAATTAGTCATGAAGGAACTCCACTCGGGAATTTGCTCCTCACATCAAGGAGGCCGATCCCTGGCCCGTCGTATCATGCTGATCGGGTACTATTGGCCGTCCCTCCAGCTAGACTGTGAAAAGTTAGCTAGGGAATGTGAGACGTGCCAACTGTTCGCCCGGATGCCTGGACGACCGGCAACCTTCTACCAGCCAGTCACGACCGCCATTCCTTTCGCTAGGTGGGGGGTGGACATCTTGGGCCCTTTCCCTCAGCTCTCTGGTCGGAGAAGGTTCGTGATTGTCGCCATTGATTACTTCTCCAAGTGGATAGAAGCCGAGCCCTTAGCCACGATCACCTCTCAGCAATGTGCTCGTTTTCTTTGGCGAAATGTGATTTCCCGCTTTGGTGTGCCCGTGCATCTCATCAGCGACAACGGCCGCCAATTCGTAAGCCAGTATTTCCAGAACTTTTTGGCCACGATCGGGACAACTCACGTTCGGTCGTCGGTGGCTTACCCGCAGGGAAACGGTCAAGTGGAGAACGCGAACCGGACGATTTTGGAAGGTCTGAAAAAGAAGTTACACTCGGCTGGTCGTAGTTGGGCCGATGAGTTGCCATATGTCTTATGGACTTATCGGACAACCCCGAGGGAAGCTACTTTGGAGACCCCTTTCGCCCTGGTTTATGGAGCTGAAGCCCGACTCCCGATCGAGGCTTGGATCCCGACTGATCGAGAGAGAACCTACAATGCGGAGGAGAATGAGCATGCGATGGCCGTAGACCTCGATGCGGTCGAAGAAAAAAGAGAGCTAGCTGCTCGGCGTATGGCCGAATACCAGAAGCGTGTTAAGAGTTCTAAAGACGTTCGGGTCAACCCTCGTTATTTTCAGGTTGGAGATTATGTTCTGCGACGAAGGGAGGCCAGTCAACCTTTAGAGGGCGGAAAGCTAGCTCAAAACTGGGAAGGTCCGTATATCATTAGCGCGGTCATACGGCTGGGCACGTACCGACTGGAGACGACAACCGGTCGAGTAATCGAGGGGACTTGGAATTCCGAGCACCTCGTTATGTTTAGGCATTAAGCCTATTTTTTGTAACTTTTGACGAAGTGGGGGCTTGTCCTGCGAGTAGGTCCCGGTCGCCGGTTGTAATTAAGCTTTGTGATTGTAAATATTTGTTTAACCGCCTGCGAGCGGGAAGGTTTTAATGTATATACGATCGGTGATTGCTCGACCGCTTGCATGCGGCGGCCCGGTCGGTTATTTTCTCTACCTTCGGTGCGAATCTATCGTCCGGTCAAATGCGCTCCACATCGGCGGACATGCGAGTCACGCCACTGATCGGGGAAGCCAGGAGCACACAGCATAATTCCCCGATCAGTTCACCTCTTGTCCACTATTGCACTCACTCGTGCCATGAGAGCACAATAGTGTGGGGGCTGGGATAAGGGAGTGTCCGTAGGCCCATCGCTCGGGAAAACTCGGCTATCAGGGGCTTAGTGTCCGTAGGCCCATCGCTCGGGAAAACTCGGCTATCGGGGGCTTAGTGTCCGTAGGCCCATCGCTCGGGAAAACTCGGCTATCGGGGGCTTACCTGTTTTTCAAAATCTCGTCAAGGCCTGAAGATCGGGTAAACCTGATCGGGTTGGCCAATATGACGTTGACTTAAGTCCGTTGTTCGGAGATATCCCGGACGTAGAGGCTTGGCCAGTTGGAGATATTTCGTCAAGGACAAAAGATCGGGTAAACCCGATCAGGTTGGCCAGTTGGACGTCGAAATCTCGAGCGTCGAGCGGGTCGAGTAATGCAGGACCGGGCCAAAAGGCCATGAGGTCGAGCATTAAGGGTCGGCCTATGCATGAACAAAAATAAAGATACAGAAAGAGGGACGAGCGACGCAAGTTTAACAAAAGATGAATTTCATTGATTTAAAGGGGTGCCCGGTACAAATTCGGGACCGGGCTCCCGATTGATGTCACTTACAAAAGAAGCAGAATTAAAAACTACTCTACTTCTTCGCCTCAGCATCGCCCTTCCTCGGCGTTTCCTCCCCGCTCGGGCCGGCTTCAGCCCCATTCGCCACGGCCCGATCCTTTGGATCAAAAGGTGCTGGCCCCGGGTCGGCTACTTCGTCGGGGAGGGTGGTCAAGACCAACTGAAGATCATCCCCTTCAAGGGCTTGCTCCATGATCTTCTTGGTCTGATCACGCATTTTCCGCTGACCGGTTTTGTAAGCCCACCGGCCAAACGTCCATATCAGCTTCTCCCCGACCTCTGTGCCTCGAACGGACTGGAGAAAGCGAGCGCCCGATTTGGTGTCTTGGAAAAGATGCTGGGCGAGCTTATCCGGGTCGTTCTAGCGAGCCTTGAGCTCGGCTGCCTCCCCGATCGCCTGTTGGGCGACCTGCTCGGAGAGGTCCCGCTCAGCTTTGACCTTCTTTAGCTGAGCCTCCAGATCCCGGATCTCCTGTAGCCGCCGGTTGGCGACCTTCTTCAAGGCCTCAGCTTCGTTGGCCTGAAGGGCCCGTTGTTGAAGAAACTGGGCCGCTCGGGAGATCTGCATATATGAACGACCGTGTTAGCCGGACAGCGGTACTTCGACAAAATTCAGAAGAAGGAAAATACGCTTACCTCAGCCAAGTCGTAGCCGATCTTCTCGGCTACCTGGCTCGGGGTCAGCTTGGAGAAGTCCTCCTTGGCCGACCCGGCGTTCCCGATCCGAGCAAGGATCGAAGATCCGCCTCTGCTGCCCCCGCCCGACGGGGTCGGGCTGTGTTGTTCCCGGCGCCGCTTCAAGGCCCCGGTCTCTGAGGTGGTCTTCTCTGCCACCTTCTCTTTCCCCTTCCCGACCGCCACTCGGGAGACCAGGACCTCTGAGGCGTCCACCACGAAGCCTTCGGTCGTGGTGATGGTCGACGCCCCAATGGGTCGGGCAACCGGGATCTCCTTTTCCCCGGCCGGCTTGGCTTGGCCCTTCTTTTTGCCAAGGGAAATCTTGGCCACCGGGCGCACCGGGACATCCTCATCTCCGAAACCGGCCATTCCTGCAAAACAAAACAAAATAGGTTAGGTCGAGCTAAAGGCCCAGCCGGGCTTCTGAGATCGATGAAAAGGGCTAACGTCGCACCTTTGCCCTTTCGTTTGCCCCGGGCGGGCATCTTTGCGATCGTGACGCCCCGGGGCTCGGGCTTGTATTTATCGGGTATATTATATACAGGCTCGGGCAAGTCAGCCGCTTCGAGGGACTCGGGCGTCTTGAAGATTCGATACTCGTAGATTTCGCCCGAGATTTTAGAGACGGCGTCTATAAGGACCTGGGTCTCGCTTGGGATGACTTGTTTCCGGAAACGCTGGCTCCAGACCCTCTCGACCGGGAGGATCCACGGATCATACTTCACTGAGAAGATCCGGTTCTTCCACCCCCGGTTGTTCCCGGGCAGCCCTTCGATCGAGCATCTATCCGCTCGGGATTGTATCATCAGAAATCCACCCCCATACGCGGCCGCTAGCACCTTCACTTGGTAGACAAAGTTGAAGAGCTCCATCGTACAGGATACGTTGTGCCGATTGCAGATCTGGGGAAAGCATGCGATAATCCGATGCGCGTTCGGGCAAATCTGCCCGGGCATAACTTGGTAGTAGCCCAAGAATGCTGTAAGGAGGCTGGAAAAGGGGAATGTGATCGGGGCCATTAGCGAATCGTAATGCAGCCCGATCCATTTCCCTTGGTGCCGCTCGATGATATTTCCGAGCTGTCTGCTGGTATCGAACTCGACCCGACCAGCAAGAGTTGCCGCAATTTTGCTTGCTTCTCCTTTTGTCAGCAAGCTCTTCTGGCCTTCAACGCTCTCGCTGTTGAGGAACTCAAACCCGTCCCCGCCCGGTGGCACCGGCCCGGTCGGGTCCTCTTCATCCGCTTCGGCTTCGTCGGCCCGGTCTCCGCCCTCAGGCTCGGCTCGAGGGTAATCCCCTATTACCCTCGTAGGCGTTTCCCTAACGCCTTCGTCCGGGAGGCTTCGTCCGCTCGTAGACGTTGCCTCGCTCCCCGACCCACTGGAGCTCGACCCCGAGGTCCCTGACGAACCTGATGACCCTGCTGGCTCGGGGGCTCGGTCGGGAATGGGCGGTGGTCGTTGTTCGACCTCTGGGGAGTAGGACATGATGTCCACCTCCTCGCTGCTGTGCTCGATTGCGTCGTTGTAGTCTGCGATCGAGGCGTTCTGGCTATCCGAATCCGACATGTTTTCTACCTAAAGGTCGGTCTGGGTTAGTACAGGGTCGGGAGGTTAGCTCAAAGTTAGTCCTATCCTATTCCTACGCAAAGCTAAAAACAAAGTAAAAAGCTGAGGGATCAAGAGCTTACCGATTGCTGGTACTTTGCTCGAGGGAGAGAACTTGAAGCTTGGCTTT